TATTTATTTTCCAAAGTTATTTTTTACTAGATCTTCAATATTAAAAGTTGCCCAGTAATTCTAAATGTTGCGATAGCGTAGTTGGTTAAGTATCAGCGAACTACCTCTTGTGCCCGGAGTTTGATTTCCGTTGCGAAATTTTTTTGGGATTATAAATGTTCAATTTAATTACATTAATACAGTTGTAAAATCAAGCAAAATAAATGTAGTAATATAACTGTAACGTTTGAATCTCTCCCACGTTATCAAAACAATAGTTCGGACTCTTTCTGTTGTATTTGTAATCGCGTTTCCGAGAGTAGCAAGAAGTTGACACGTGTATGTTCTAAATGAAATATGAAAATTCTTCGAGTAGTAAACCCAAAGTTTTCTAACTCGATGAATCGTCTTGAAATGCAATTGAGCGTGATTGCATCTATCGGGGAGAGGCCCGACAGCGCCGCAACCAATACTCAATTTAATTTCTTAACAATTATTATATTTGAGGTAGGGAGATATCTAAGGCTACTTTTTTCTCATAAGAGAGATAGTCTTATGAGTTGAGCACTTAGATATCGAAAGGAGAGGAATTAGCAGGCTAACCACTGAATAAAGAAATTTATCTCAGAAGATTGCTGAGGCTTTATTTTTAAACAGTGCTCGCGCTGCTAAGCAAGGTAGGATAGTGAATTCTCTTGCCGCAGCGACGAGCGAATTTATACTTGCGAAATGGGCTACTTTCTACGCTTGGTAGCCCCTACAACGCTATTTTTGAAATTGATACAAATTTTGCATATATTTTGTTGCAAAATGGCTCGATCGAAATTGCAATTTTATGATTTAAAAAATTAAATATGAAATAACGAATTTTTTGACATAAATCGCTTCTTGATGAAAAATCGTCTTTTAGAGTTATAAGTAATACAATTCAATAATTAAATTACGCCAATTTTACAATAAATTTACGGAAAATTTTTACATAAAAAAATCGCTTGTAATTAGCGGAACGTTATTCAAATTAAAAACGATTAATATAGCTATCTAATTTTGAATAATAATTAAAAAACGAATTTACAAATTTCTTTTTTAGCCATTTAAAAATCAGCAAATTAGTGACATTCATAATCATTAATTTTACAGATATGTACGATCGACTCGCTATCTAACAATGCAATTTTAATTGTTTAAAAAAATTATAAATTTTTTATTTATTGATAACTTAGTGAATAATTAGTTACCAAAGTGTCAAATTCTTGCTCCTCTGTTTTAATATGTCGCGGACGTGATCGCATAGTCGAATTAACAATACGTTTATTTATTCCAAAATAGCTGACAATATTAATTTGTAAATTAAATTAAACTAATAAATACCGACTTGAGAATTATAACGACATGAAATTCGGGATCAGCGCATCAAAATTGACTAAAAAAGTGCTTTTGTTCATTCGAAAAACTTTATAATTGTCAATAGACAATTTTAAAAGAAAAAATGCAAAATATTGCATTGTAAACATATTTCCCACGGTCGTGACGTCACGCTCCTTATATGGTAATGTTTTCGCAGAGTTGCCCTAACACATTTGCATATGTGTGAGAAAAGCGCCTTCGCTCAATTACCGCTTTTCTTTGATTGTCACGTGCACGACGGGTTGCTATTTTGCAAAGGGAAAAAAGGGACAAATCAGACTGGACCGTCACATAACATTAACATAATTAATATGTAAATGTATATTATATAAAAACTGTACTAAAAATTTTACAAAAATTTCCTGATCAAGTTTGCAAAACTTATCAAAAATATTTCATTAAATCTTTCTCTACAATATTATTACAGTTTTTGTTGCCTAGACATACAAATATGTATTAATATGTCCGTCCCATGAAATCTACTTAAATATTACGAGAAAAATTGCCACAATGTTTACTTGAAATATTTTAGATATATTCAAGACATATTGCTGCAATCTTTTCTACAACATTTCTGTAGCTCAAATTGCACGAGCATAGAAATATTTTAGTGACATTTCAATGAAAGTTTGCAGAAATATTTCAAACGTTTCAGAATTCCGCGCCGATTCTAACTCCAATTCCTGACGACCATCGTATCCAGGAGGATCCTGTATCCTGGGACAGTGGTTGACGCCTTTAAAACATAGTCGGGGAGACAAGCCCTGTGGCGGTGACATTTCGCGTGCGCGGCCTAAGCCCTCTGAATTCCCCCTTCTCAATATTCATACAAGAGCGAAATACGTGATTACATTTAGATTACATAATGTTGAAACCATTTGTTACATAAAAATTGTGTTAAGTTTTTATGACGACCTAAAGTATCATTATTACGAGAACAGTTATTCATATAATGTTCATTAGCTATCTTAAATACTAGATTAAATCATAAGGATATTATAAGTTTATTTTATCGCAGTACGTGTAAAATATAAAATTAGTAAGTTTCATTTAATTTAGTTTTCTTCGTAATTTTTTTCACGTGATATATAAAACAATGCCTCTTCCCTTTCTTTTTTATATACTTGAAAGGTAAATATGCCGGAGTAAAATCGATTATTCCTTCATCACATTATCTCGTAAAAGGACTGAACTCAAAAATGTGTTATTCCAAACTTCGAGAAGATATCAGTATACAAGATAGTTCGTATGAGCAAATGACTGATTTCATCATAGATAAAGAAGAAAGATTGTATGAATTTAGACGCAGAGCACATTAGTCAATGTCGAACGTTTGCTTCCACTATCGACCATGAATTATCTAGTGATGACACTGATTCTACAGAAAATATGGACTGGTCTGAATCAAATATTGCAAATTTTTATAATAACCATGAGAGAGATCAAAAGATAATCTTAATGCAATTATTCAAAATTAGGTTAAAATTAATAATGAAGATAAGTATGAGTCGCTAAAATTAGAACCTATACGAACCGAGTAGTCGACACCTTATGTAATTATATTACGCCGACATAAGATATAATTATTTTATTTTATTCAAAAAGATGTATCTATTTCCATGAGTTTTCGATCGTGGAGCTTTATGAGTATCTAGAACTTCCTCAAACCTCTAAACATATTTGGACAGTCAAAACATCAAATCAATTGGAAAGCCGAGATTTATTATACTAGGTTTTCAAACTAAACACAAGTCTGATAAACAAACAATTGTAGCGAATTCAGTTATTGTAATGTAATGAATTCTAAAACGATTTCTTATTTCTCAGCTATATCCGTATGACAATTTAAATTTTGATGCGCAATTCTAATATATGTACTAAAACTGATATTATATATTCAATCCATCTTTTGATAAAATAAAAATTAAAAACTCACGCACCCTTAATAGTGATAGACTATTTAAAGCAAAACGAAGCATTGAAACAAGCTTCAATTGATGTAAGTGTAGAATTTCAAACAAAAACTAATATACCACAGGAAACAGCTACATATTATCTGATTTTACACAATCGTATTATTAAGTACTATCCTATTAGTGGTAAAGTTGTAATACTATAATAAAAATGTAATAATTGATATGTAATAAAAAAATATTCTTTATTTGACGACTATGATTTTATTTTATTTATTTTAACAATCAGCATTGATGTGATTAGACGTAAGTTGCATGGGTCTGAATGTAATTGTGGAATTGCAGAGGGAAATCAATACGACTTGGAAAATAAACGACGTTGTAATATGGATACTGCTTTACATTTTAATGACGTTGTTGGGGACAGGAGAGCAAGAATAAACAATTACTATGTCGTTTGAACGGGTTTTATTTTATTTTACAAAATCAGCTACAAGGTTATTAAATTAACCGCGCGCGTCTACACGACTTCACTGAAGGAGCGGTCAGGATAGAGTGTCGTCGCTTTTTTTTTCACTTCCCGCTTCATTTGCTCGGCTTTCCCTCTCCTTGTTATTTTTTGCATTGGCGTAGCTAAATGAGGTCCGAAGGGGGCCAGTGTCGCACTTCCCTCCGCTTCGCTCGTGGTTCGCCGGGCGGCCCCGGAAATAACCCTTGTGTTATTGCCGGGCCGTAAGATCAAAAAAAAAAATCATTTACAGCAGGTCATGGCAGCCTCGGGAAGGGGCACGGCCCGTATCTCCCTCCCGAGCTGTAGCGTACGGCCATGGATCTGCCCAATAGCAGCCATGCTCGTCAAACAAGCGAAGCCATGGAGGGTGGCCGTTTCAATAAATTTCCGACACATGTACCCACGGCGGAGACGGATGGTCGCGACGACACACTTTCCTACCATCGCACGCAAAGACTTGACTCCTTTTTTCGCAACGCACGCTGTACATGCCTCGACGCATCGAGTCGCCAGCGCCTCACATATACCCCACTGACTACGGCCTCTGACCGAAGAGGAAATTTCGGGTTTTCTCCGGCGCGTTACGTCACAATCACGGCTTGTCGCGCGTTGTTCAACGCGCAACCGAGACCGAAAGATTGCTGATGTCTTCCGAGCCAACGCTCAACAGCTGCGGACGTCTACTTTTTTTTTTTTTTTTTTTCGATCCGTAACAGACGTTATAAACTTGAAGATTGTTGAGAATATTTTTTCAGTAGCATTTGCAAATAAATTGGATGGATTGATTGATATGCTGGATAAATTTTTTTTTAAATTACGTCGATTAGTGTTCGCTTTTTATACACCTCAAGTTTTGTTAACATCTCTGATTTATCGAGTCCATCGGGGGCATGGGGTATGAAACTGGGAATGTCTATAAAAAAGCAGGAATACGAAAATCCATAATATTACTCACATCGGGGATTATAGAATTGACTAGCACGGGGGTTCCTCGAATGATAAAGTAGCATCAACCTAACCCATACGTACAATAGGGTCAATATTATTACTGACCCTCGGTAAAGAAGGAATCACTTACTCACATGGTAAGTTTCCAATTGCTCCAATTGTCCAAGGTTCCCATTACTATAGCTACTATTACCATATTTGTATTTTTTTATTGTTAAATAATAATTTTAATAAATTTGCAGAAATTGATTGATTCCGTAATATTGACAGACGACGCTCCAAAAGCTATCGATGTTAGGTATTTTTCCAAATGTTTCAATGAAAATTCAATTTTAAGAGAGAGGAAGGAATGTGATGGTGTTAGAGTTAATAATGTAGCTGAGTTCGACATTATATTGAAGGTTAATATTGAAAACAGTACACTAAAATAATACGGAGAGTTAAAAAATGGATCGTTTAATCAAACGGTGAATTAAAATATCTATTATGCACAGGCTGTAAATTGTCCATCGAATATCAGCGAACGACATCGAACCATAAAAATTAGTCCTAGAGGATTGATTGAACATCTGGAACTAGAGATCGAAATTCTTTGTGATTGTTCTTGTGAAATGACGGGTAATGAGGTAAAAAGTATTTGTTAAATAATCTAAATTCCATCATTGTGCTAAATAAGTATATTTTCTCGTGAAGGCTACAGCATAGTCCTCTAGTTTCATGAAACTACGATGTTTACTATTTCTGAAATATTATATTCATTGATGCAAAATAATTTATACAGGATGGACCATTGTAATCAAAACAATTTATAAACTCCGAAATTAGAAGTTTATTCCAAGATCAAATGTTAAAGAATACTGTTGTTGCTATTTCATTGCATTTTCTGATAGTTGATATACTTTTATGATGAATATTTAAACCCAATGTGATAAGAACCTTGAAAATATTGACCTTGAAGAAAAAATAATTTCCTAATTTTAGCGCTACCCAGGAACAATGACGTGGACGTAATAGGACTGTGTTCCCTTTGGGGTGCTTGGTTTCCGTGAGTCCCCTCGCCTCTCCGATTATTATTTTACAATAAATGCTCAAAATTTTTTTCATTAGCTTCAAGGCACGAAGGACCCAGCCGGGTAAACATGTTAAAAATGCCCTAAACGTAATCGTAAATCTGACTTAACAGGTCGTTTTGTTATTAAAAGATATGTCTTCAGCCAAATTTTCAGACTCCTAATCTAAAATAGGGCCAAATAAGACGCAATTTTGTCTAAAACGGTTTATCATCGATATCTCGGTCAATATTTGAGTCTTGGAAATTTTTTTTTCATTTTGTAGGACATTTTAGTCTCTACAAAATTGCCTGATCAAAAAAAAAATGTTTTCTCAAAATTCGAATTTAAAAAAATTATTTTCATATTTTTCGTGTCCAAAGAAATGTGCTTTTAATTTTTTTCAAATTTTTTCAAGTGATAGACAAAGTTAAAAACATTAAAAACCATTTTTTCTATTATTTTAAGACCTTGCGATGTCACGTAAGTTCTAATATTATTTTCTAGGGCATATTTAAACAAATATAACTGTTTAATTCAACAAATTAAAGGAAGATGTGGAAATTAGATAGTCAAATTTAAGACTAAGTATATTATTTTAATAAGTCTCACATGCAATTATTAAGTCCGGGAGTGCCAGGTGCTTGATGACAAAAGAAGTATCAGGGTTTAATACAACAATAATTTTTAATACACAGAACATATATCCATACATACGTATATAGCGTCAGATATATAAGACAACAATATTAATTATAACAAAAATGCCTTAAAGGCGGCGGAAAGATATTGGTTTCGCTTACTTATGTAAAACCTTACGTTATTGAATGGTCATTCGATATATTTCGCTTACCAAACGACGCTTTAACGTGAGATTGAGGAGGGAAGTACCCCCACGGATAGCGAGAACGTAGCTCCAACGGGGACAGCTCTCGCTAGCGTTCCGCAGTTAATGAGGTTGGTAACGTGGGGCACACTCCAGAGGAAATAGCGCTTCCTCTACTAAGGCAGCAGGCAGTCCTGTCCTTAGCCCTGTGCTCGTCGCCGGTTCCCTCAAGCAATGAGAACGTAAATGCACGTCTGCACCGTTATACGAGGTGTGTTAAAAAAATACCCGGAAATTTTTAATTTCGCGGGTCTGGAGAGTCCGATTGTCAAAATTTTTTTTATTGCATTGGTATACATGCCCCTGAAGTATGATAAAATTTTCAGCTATATTCACTGTTTACTTTGTCTGCGGTAGTCGCTAAGGTTTGACGTGTTTTTATGAGCTCGGCGATTTTCGTTTTTTAAAAGAAATGGATCAAAGAATTTGTATTAAATTTTGCGTAAAAAATGAAATAAAGTGTAACAAAGTGTGTGAAATGTTACAAAAAGCCTATGGTGAGTCTGCTATGAAAAAAACAAGTGTTTACGAGTGGTATAAGCGTTTCCAAGATGACCGCGAAGACGTTGAAGATGACGAACGCTCCGGTCGACCCAGCACGTCAACAATCGATGAAATTGTGAAAAAAGTGGAAAAAATGGTTCTGAATCATCGACGAATCATAATTAGAGAAGTTGCTGACGAAGTTGGCATATCAATTGGCTCATGTCATAACATTTTTTCAAATATTTTGGGCATGAAACGGGTGGCAGCAAAATTCATTCCAAAACTGCTGAACTTTGACCAAAAAAACAATACACACACAAAGTCGCTCAAATTCTTCATATGAATACCCGCAGATATTGTCTCCAGCCGATGGTTATCGCGGAACCGGATAGCAAGAATTAACGGTAGCGGGAGGAATCGAAAGGCAGATGAGTCTTAAGGCAAGACTTACCGAACGATTTTCTGAACGGAACTAATTTCATCACCGAGTTCCCCTTAACAGGAAAATTCGCCGAGTACATCTCTACTTCTTTTAAACCCTCAGCGAAGGTCAATGGGAGTTTTGGCTGACCCACGCGCAGTATAACCCACCTGGATCATCCTCGCTAATAGCGCTGTCAGTGCTACATGTAATTTATGACGCACACTAAAGCGACGCATCTTAAACCATAAACTGATTCTCGGCTAAAGTGTCGAAGTGGGCTTTCCCCCAATTGTGGTAAAAAACATGTTGCGATCATATGTCTAGTTTGGCGCACCTTTTTCTTTTTTACTACCCAAAGAGGAAATCGTGTAGCAGCTTGCTGCCAGGAGGACAACACGTGGAATAGACACAAGCTACGTATTCTAATGCTAAGGAGCGCGATAAGCGCTATCATAAAATATCAGTATACTAGCTGTATACTATAACAAATATCAATACTAGCGCACGACGAAAAAATAATAATTCTATTCTAATAGGTCTTATTTCAAACTCTGATTAACTTCTTTCAGATTTTTAAGATCCATTCAATATATTTTCTTCGAGTATATACCCTACTTTCAAATATATAAAAAAATATATATCCAATAAATATGGTACTTTGATGAAGGAAATGGAGCACGTTAATTCAGTGAAAAAAATAGCGTTAACTCAAATATTATATTTAAGTTTTAAAAGCTGTAACGGTCCTATTTATGAGCTGTTTATTAAATGACTGCAACTAGTCTAACGTATTTATCTGTTAGTCAAAACAATACATTAAGCGGCGCTACCTCACTGTTTACGCGACTGTATACAAATAAGAGTCGAGTCAAAACAAATAGCGTGACGTCACAAATAATAGACATAGATATAATGATCCATAATATTGAGAAAAATATGTTAATTATAGATAATAGGAATATAACAAAGTATCGATTATATAGATTTTAACATACAGATTCACAATATCTCATTCAATTATAAATTAATAATGAATATCAATATGTAAAGTTAATTTATTTATTAACATATGAAATATTAGAAAAATATAAATAATTTATATGTAAAATGAATAAGCATAGAACATGAGTAAGAATTGGTTTCATTAATAACAGCTAAATAACAACTGTTATTAATAAATAAACAATTAATAATTTATTTAAACAATAAGCTATATATAGAACGAAAATACTAAGTTAATACTTGATAATGACAATTTTATGATTTAGAAATCTTAGATAATTAATCAAATAATCGCATGTTAAGATTAGAAGAAAACCGTTACAAATATGAAAAAATAGTCATAATTCAAATGTTATTAATTAATTCAAATAATTAATTTTGGAAAATACTTCCAAAATTAATCAACTTTAAGGTTATATGAAATTTTAACAATTTTCTATTGTAAATAATGTAATATCACGTTAATTAACTTTATTAGTTAATAACTTTTGACGACACTATTGGCGATAATTCTATATTGTATAAAATCAACAAATAACTAGTTCTGTAAAATTTACATGTGTTAAAAACTTAATATTAATGGTTATTTACTTGTAAATGAAGAAAAATCATTTCTCAAAATTCGCGAATGTCTCTCGAATTTTCGATGAAATCTCTCCTGCAATAATAAGCGGGAAAATCTGTGTATAAATAGGCCCACCTTTACACAGGCTAGATTCATTCACTTCTAGCCTTGCAAAGTGAGCGCATGAGTTTGAATAAACTTGGATCAACACCTAAGTTCTTTCTCTCATTGTGATTTACTAAGCAAGACTAACCTTTCCTTATAATTTGAGCTCGACTTATAGAACATCTCGCGCTATAAGAAACTTGGGCCGAATTATATCCTATCCAAGAAAGACTTTAGCTCTGCTTATGGGACAACTCGCACCATAAGAAACTAGGGCATTGTCTGACTTTCCTCGATATTTTGCAATTACTTATATATATTTGATTTACTTGATTATCATATTTGTTTCATTTATCTACTTTCCTGAAATTAGAGTAAAATCATCGGAAACAAATTCTTACTCATTAGCTAAATTACGAGAGTTCGAATTATTTTTATTTATAAGTGATACGAACATCACAAAGCTATACACATATATACATAAATTATATAAACAATAAAAAATATAAGCAAATCAGTAGCTTCAATACCTTTACCTTTTACTGGATTTAGATGTTTGAAGGTTGCTATTTACTATTTTAATATACAGGGTGTTCCAGAACTATGGGATCAAACTTCTAGGGGATATTCAGTGCACTAATAGAAGACATTTGAGTTTAAGAATCCATGTCCGGAAATATCTCCTTAACCCATTAACGACCAAAATGCTCAATTTTTTTGTCGATTTTTAACGCGTATTTCTTTTAGCAATGTTACCGCTAAAAAATCATCAAACAAATATGATCAGAGGTGATCACGACTCTCAAAGTATCTCGGAAACCATTAAGTTTAGATGAGAAGTTCATTGAACAAAAAAGTCTTAGAATTAAACGAGAAATACGCATGAATTTTTTCAGAATTTTCCGAGGCGATTTTTGAATTTTCGGAGAATACGGAAAATCCACTTTTCCAAAATCATCTCCAAAAATTCTGAAAAATTCATGCGTGTTCCTTGATAAATTCTAAGACTTTTTGTTTCATAAACTTTTTCTCCAAACTCAATAGTTTTCGAGATAAAAAACGTTCTACTCTTAGCATGACCCAGAGATAACGACGAGGACGTAGTAGAATTTTGTCTCCTTTGGGGTGCTTGATTTGAGTGAGTCCCCTTGCCTCTCACTTTTCGAGGTGCTTGATTTGAGTGAGTCCCCTTGCCTCTCACTGCAATACGAATTTTTCAGTGTTTTTTTTTAAACATTCAACACAAATCGATAAATCACATTTTTCACAGATAATTCTC